AAAGCACCCCCAAAGCACCCCTAAAGCGCCCCTCTAGCGCCCCTCTAAAGCACCCCTAAAGCACCCCGAAAGCACCCCGATCCAATCCCGAGCTAGAAGTAAACCAACCCTAAGTTGGCCCTAATGTTACCCTAAACCAACCCCAAGCACCTTAAATCGACCCAAAAACAAAACACAGGCCGGAAGCCGGAAGCTGGAGGCCGGATACCACAACTTGATCTTGTGCGACCTTGAAGAGCCCAGACGGGGGGGGGGGAACCATCACCAACCAGACAATCCACAAGGTCCCTTCGGGTTCGGGCCTTTGAGCGCTTTCCCCGCGCCTGCAGGGAGCCGAGGGCCTGGTAGTTGCTCCAGGCCTTCACATCCGCCTGCGGTGAGAAGCCCTCGATGCAGCTGCCCAGGCCTGCGAGCGGCTTTAGGAAAGACATAGAATGCAAATCCGGACCAGAGGGTCCCATTTTTTTGGTGGGAGAAAAAGGGCTCCCTCTATGAGACATCCCCCTTTTCACAGGCCATATGACAGACTTCCGGAAGGCCTTCTTTTTGGTGAGACCGAGGTGTGCATCGATTTCGGAAACCGGGAAGCCCATTCAAAAGAGCCGGGAGAGCTCAAGTTGGCATTTTGAGGTATGGATTTTGGAGGTACGGAGATCTTATATCAATTATGTAAGTTGTTTATATGCCAATATGCATACCAGCTTATTTTGGCATATCAGCATCCACAGCTTCAAGGCCACCTGAGAATGTAAATTGAACACCTGCGCGGATTGCACCTGCGTTTGACCAGAAAGTGTCCTTTGGGCAAGGGTAAAAAGCATAAACTTGTGTCTGACTGAAGTAATCAACCAGGGCCTTGTAAATCCTGGGCTTTGATTGAGGCCTCAGTTGAACCCAGAGCTTCCCCCTTCTTTCGGGAAGCCACCTTGGCTTCCGAAATTGCAGAGAGGGATCCATTGTACTTCGAGGGAAGTCACTAACTTTCGCTGCCATGAGAAACCCCTTCGCCAGGCATCTGCCACCTAATTTCTCTCCAAAGAGTGGTGTGGTTGTTTCTGAGTTTGCACCCGTGACCCGAAATGGTCCTAAACAAAAGCCTATCTCTTAAAATAGCCCTGGATGCTGGATGGGGTTGTCTCCTTCGAATCCCAGGGAGCCAGCCACGACCCTGAGATTTTCCCCCACGCCCTTCGCATGTGACCAATGGGTCAAAACTGAGCCCGGGAACTCCGGTTACCATGATGAAAGTCAAAATCCTTTGCGTGGTCCCTGTAATCATAATCTGCGCATTGAATTGTAAAATTGCTATGAATCCTCCCTGACAAAAAAAGTGTAGTGGGCATCATCAACCTGTGGATGTATGCGCCCGCCAAGCAGTGCAAAGGGTGTGCCTGCCGTTGAAATTCACAGCCGCAATTGTTCCTACCTCTTCCCTGGGTGTGTCAGGTGCAGCGTTCAAAAAGGGATCGCGATCCACGCAATCCCCACAGGACCTCCCAAAATGGGCTGGTTTCCTCTAGGACCAAAAAAAGAGGCACTCAAAGAAGGCCTACAACTCACGAAGCTTCATAACTTCTCATAAGGTTTTTCGTTGGAGCTCAGCAGGTGTCTGAAACTCGGGCGCTCCCAAAAGGGTCTGCCAAGCTATCTGAATAAACCCCGAGAACACCTTCCTCGATGTCGCGACCGCGGTAGGTGCGGTCGCAATGGACAACTTGCCCACGTTCAACTGGTTCTGCTTTGGGCTTTGGGGGGGGGGGGGTGCACACACCCAGAAAAAGTGGGAGCCAAGACCCCAGGCCCAAAAAAAGTGTGCGAACTACTTGCACCTGGCATGACTGATGCGTGAACCCAGTGTTGAGCACAAGGCTCCAACTCATGCTCTATAAGTTCAACACATGATAATCGAATCCTGACTTAGGTTGCTTTATGGCACCCCACAAGCCTCGGCTTTTTTTGATGATAGCAGGATTTTCATGTTCCTCAATTCGAGGGGGGCCCGCCCCATGTGCTGTCAGATCGCCATGACTTTGGGTCTTTTTGGGTCGGTAGCCCGTAGACTCAGGCAAATGGTGGTTTGAATGCACGAGAACTCCATGGTGCCCTGCTGTTTTTTCTCGGGCTGAGTTTGAACTGATGGTAGGCGGCAGCTCGACAATGCACCATGGGTGTACATTTTTGGAGACACTGTGGACATCATTTGTTTATTTGGGTGTGCATTTTAGGAGACCCTTTGGTGGTTGGGTGGGGATGCAGGTTGGAGGTGGTTCCCGATTGAAAATCGCAGCCATATGACTTCACCTATCTTAGTGCTTTGGATTCATCTGCCAGGTGTATTGCCGGGGTCAACATTAATGTTGACCCCAGGTTAACAAGCCCCGGCTGATTAATATGGGGGTCCGACCACGCTTTTGTTGGGGGTGAAACATTACTCAGGGTTTGACTCGGCCGGCAAAATTCACATACGACGATCCCGGACACGTCAGAGCGCATCACGGGGACGCCTGCCACCGACCCGCAGGAGTAGTGCAAGTGTTCTGTTGTCGCATTCAAATCCGTGAGGACCTTGCCTGCGAGGCGGGGCTAACTGTGTGCCGGTGTTTTGGGGGTGGTGGGGGTGTTTGGGGGGCGAGGCTTTTGGGGGGGCTTGGGTTTGGAGTTTGAGGTTTGAGGAGGTTTGGGGCTGGGAGTTTCACTTTTAACCCCTTTGCCATGAAACCAGACCAAAGGACAAACAATTGGCCCCTCTGGTGGGTTGCATGTGAGACGGGAAGAATGATCCCTTGAAATATGTCCACTCGCTTTGACCAACATGTGGATATGGGTCAAAATTAAACCACCAGGTGACCGCAGGTTTTAGTCCATGTTTCCACTTACCAGGGCAAGCCATTTTGGGCACCTATTTTTGACCCACAGCCATGTTTTACAGGTACGTTTGGTAAGGCGACCGGTTGAAGTGGGCCCCTGCCACCAAACCAACATCCGCAGGAGTCCCCGACTGCAAGACTGCAAGCATCAATATTCACACGCTCGCCGCGGGCTCGCTTCCGAGCTTCAGCTCCGAATAGGGGAAGTGCAAAAGAATGTCAAAAGCTTCCATCGCTACGTCCCCTTCAGATGTGTGAAGCACGAAATGGCATCTTTTTGGGGAGCCCTGAATATCCCGAGAAAGTCTTTCGAAGAAAGCATCTATGATTTACAAGGCTGGGTCAAAGTTGGCGACTCGACCACGCTTGAAAGGCAAGAATGTTGCCGGGAAGTGACCCTGGTGAAAAAACATCTTCAGTGGGGAAGCAAGGGAATTGTAAGGATGAGGGAAACCCGGAGTTCCAAACGCGTCAAACCAAAGCGGTTGCAACTCAACTCGAGCACCAAGCCCCTTTTCAGGTCTCTGATTCGTGTCCTTTGATTCCTCATGGGGTCAGAATGCCGCCTGCAGTGGATAACGCGTGACTATTGGTTGGACCAACGTAACCCCTCCTTCATTAATAACTGAGGTGCTAACTCAGGTGCCGAACACCCGCGATTTCCTGCCACCTTACAGGGAAGAAACCAATTTGTCAATGCTGCAAAGGCCTTGCGGGCTTGTCTTTTCATACAAACATCCTCACAATGATTGATTTCCTTTGGCAAGAAATCTGAGCGGATGCTGTCCACAGCAATTGGAGAGCGACCTCCTCCCCTGAGAATTCACATGGAACTTGGAAAGGGTTTGCCCGAAAGGACTCTCCTCGGAAACAGAAGAGTGCTACTTACGTCTTTGGTGGTCCATGGAAGGTCGACAAATATCTAATGCAGCACACTTCACAGCATGCGCAATGTACGCCACTTTGCATGGCACGTGTCAAATCTGCTGTCTGCAAGTCATTGGTAAATGTAGTGTGCTGTTTGAACATGGCTCTTAGAATGATGAATGTTTGTTCTCATTTGGCTATCCCAATCCGTATCAGTATCATTAGCACCCCTTGTGACTTGTCTTCCTCGTTCAAACTCTGATGAGACGTCTAGCATTCATCCTACTCTTCTGTCATCAGCTATCTGAACAACTTTGCTATGCTGCATTTGGATGGCTCTTTCTCATGCCCCTCTTGTTCCTCTTCTTCATCCTCCTCTCGTTCCTCTTCTCCCTCCCGTTCTTCTTCTGCTTCTTCTTGGTCTTCCTATTATTTGTCTTTCTTTTTTCGCTGTTCCTTCCCCTTCCCCTTCCCCTTCCCCTTCCTCTTCCTCTTCCTCGTCTCCTTCTTCCTCCTCCTCCTCTGGTTATCCTCCTCTTCTTCTGCTTGTTCTTGTCTCTCGTGTTGCCGTGCCCTTCTTCCTCCTCTTGTTTCTTTCTGCTTTCTCTTGCGAAAAGGGACATGTGAGGGCCCGGAAAGGCCATTGGTGAAGAGATCGGCTCCCGGCGTTCCCTCCCGGCTTGGAAGCTCGGCAAAAAACGCCACCTCCAGAACGGAGTTCGGTGTTCCATTTGGTTTCCCTCACAATCGTCAAAGTCGAGAGGCCCCACAGCAGGAAAGGGGTGTTGCCCCAAGCTGGCCCTCCAAAAAACACACACCGTGACCCGGCTATGGGTCAAAAATGGGTATCCAAAATGGAACCCTGGTAAATGGAACCAAGGACTAAAGCCTGCGGTCCCCTAGTAGTTTAACTTTGACCCATGCCCACCCCATATGGGCTCTAACAAATGGGTTCTGGGACGCCATACCCATGATTCTGCTTTGGTTTTCAGCAATTTGGTCCTTGTGATACCCACGGCTACCCCCAACTCCGCGAAAAAAATAAAGAAAATGAAAAAACACCTTTGCCGGAAGAAGAAGAAAAAAAACAAGGGCCTTCTGGGCAGTACACCGGGGCGTCCGCCAGGAAGTACTGCCAGTCCGGCCAGGAGCCGATCTTGAAGATCTCCACCACGTCATCTGCCTCCGGCTCGAGAAGCAATACACGGCTCGAGCCGACTTCGAATGGCCAAAAAGAAACCAAACACGGCACCTGGGGGTCTGGTTTTTGGGGAAAAATGGAAGCTATGAGTTTGGGGCTGCCTGTCAAAGGGAAGCATGGTCATTGTTTTAGGACTCGGGAACTGTGGCAACCCCATAGACTGGGTCGGCTGGAGCGGATTGGCTTGGGGCAGACTGATCGGAACAAGCTTTCAGACCTGTTCTGGTAAAATGATCTTCCCAAGTTTTCGAAGTCCACAACCTGGAGCCAACGCAAGGCCGCCCTCATCTTTGCTCCAAAAATGGACGTTGCTTAGCGAGGAAGAGCTACAAGATCAAAGGCCTGTTTGAGGGTTGTCATTGAGGTGTTTCGGGAACACCAAGAAAAGGGAAGGTGTCAAATTGGTTCTACCATGCCGCCTCTTCCCCACAAAAGTGCCAAGGCTTCTTTGACACGCAGCCATTTTGTCCGTTGCCCATCCACAAATCCATGGGGCGCTCCAGCAACGAACAGGGGGTTGTGAAAAAATCACCCTTGCCAAAGTGGATTTCGGCTTTTGGGACCCAGACCCCGGGAGCTCGAAGAATCCACCCCTGCTCATTATTTGTTTTCAACCTCTCTCCTTTCACTTTGAATCTTTAGCAAACAGCAATAGCAAAGATCACTACTATACTACTGACAGCCAGTATGGGGTACTTCCCACGTCCCTTCTGTCAATTGTGAACTCAGATTGCAAAATTGCAATGTTAGCTTTGCCTGTCAAGTTTGACTTGACAAAACAGATAAGTGCCTTGAGCAGTTTCATATAAACTCCTTTCACACCAAATGTTTGTTGCGCCGGGCGACCATGGTGGTGGGACCCTATCAAGCTGTTTGGGACGACGAGGCGCATTTAGTATTGGGAGGGAAGCAAGTTGAGCCACAATCAAATCCCGGGTAGATGAAGTTTAGTAAGGGACAATCCCAACCATAAATAGCTGCAGCCGCCTTCTTATTTCTTTACATGGTTCTGGGTCGACCATTTTTGTACCGGGTGTTGATTGTGACTCAGTTGACTTTGAAGGCCAAGGAAAGCCAGTTGCTGGTTCTCAGGGAATGAGCAATGGAATGCCCCCCAAAAAAAACCATCCACAATTGTCCTTTCTCCTCCTTCCCGGTTCAAACCGCAAAACCAAAACCCTGACTCGGTCATTCCCAGGAAGGTCTGTTTGGCCACCTTTTGTCAGAAAATTGGCTCGACCCCCTCAACAAGGAATGCTTCACTACAAGGGGGTCGATCATTGTTCCACCGAAGGCGGCAAAACGACCCCCCTGGTCATTCCCTTTCCCCAGCGCATTAGACCAAACGGCCCTCGGCCCGTCGGACCATCACCGCCTCCTTGGCGTAGACGGGCGCGAAGCGGCACACGTCCCGGGGCAGCGAGGCCCGGAACTCCAGGGAGGCGAACCAGACCCCGAAGTTCACGCCCTCCGTGGTGAGGGCGTCCACTTGGCAGGTATTGCCTCGAGCGATTAAAAAAAAAGGAAAGGAGAGAGCAAGGGCAAGCTCCACAAAAACCGGCGGAGTGAAACACGGGAAAAATGCCTCGAAAAGAAAGAAAGAAGAGCAAAAACAAGCTCCACTAAATAACGGAGCGGAGTGAACACGGGACAAAAAGCTGGAGGTGGTTTGTCTCCAAGCCCGAAAAGTAGAAGCCGAACCCAGGGAGTGAGAGCGAAGTAAACATCCAATTGCTTACCCGAAACGCTAATGATCATAGGGAAGCCCGTCACTTCTTGTCATAAGGGCATCCACCATCTGCAACCGCAAAAGACATAAACAGGGGCCCGCCTGTTAAGAGACACTCGCTCATTATACGCGGAGCAACTCTATTTCTGTCTGTGCGTGTGTGCGTGTGTGCGTGTGTGCGTGTGTGTGTGGCAACATCAATGTGCTGTAAAGGGGACCGAGTCCTTTTGCAACCCGAGAGAAGGATGAGGGATTGCCTTTGAACCGCCCTGACAGATTTTAGATACCGCTAGGAAATGTCGACTGAACCCCTTGTTGACTCCGATCTGCAATACCTGCCCATGATACAGGTCACGTTGAAGTTAGAACACCCCACCCGTAAACCTCGCTTGGCATTGCAACCAATTGCCACCAGGCTGGGCAAAAAAGGCTGATCTATTTGATGCTTGCCACCGCAAGCCTGCCGCCAAAGGGAGGAACACGCAATCCCATATTCCTGGGAACACAATGTTGTATGAACATGTACGCAAAGAGGCCCCATCGAAAGCCCGCACGAGCAATAAATTCATTGTTGTTTTTCTCGACCAAACTGCCAAATGAATTCCTCACTTCCTGAGTGCATGGCCCCCAAAAAAACAAGTCCGAGCTTTTTGTCGGTCCAAGGTGACTAAAGTCTATGAACTCGGGAAGTGAGAACTTCCGCCAGCGATGCAAACGGACGCAAGTTGAACAAATGTCTGCTTTACCTGTTTAACTCTGTCGGCTCTCAACCAGATTGAGCCACAAAACCGGATTCTACGGCAAATGAAAAGGGGCCAAACTGTTCTACCAGTGTG